GATAAACATATGCATTTTTTATATAAAACAACTTCATGAAGACAGACATTCTTCATGCTCGACATAAATAAACTATATCGAATCGATTGAATACAATTAAGTGCATTATGTAGTACAACATTTTAGTTTATAAATACGGCATCAACTTTTGGCTCGGTTCGATTCGTAAATGTCAACCTATTTCAAGTATCAGAATGGGACTGAATTTCAAGAAATTTTCATAACATGTAACATTAATCTCAAAATAGTTACATTTTTCATAATCGGAACTCTGTTACGTTTTACTTTTGATAAAAATATTTCCATCTTGTGTCAACCTGCCAATTTTTAAAATTCAATTAGTGCATAAGTTCACAATGCAAGCAAGGCCATCGTATCTTCTCAACACTAATTTATTGCTATCAATTGTGTCTTAAATTAAACGGCTTTTAAGCCCTACAACAAGATTAAGTAAAGCCGTTTACAGAAAAAAAAATCCAGTCACATTTCAAATATCTTTCCCCACTCGAACAAAAAGTATATTAAGAGCTCCTTAACTAGTCTCGCCATCATTTCAACACTTAACTTTTATGACCACAACCCATTCATCTTTTACACTATTTTCTGAGGAGAGGAGAAAGAACTATGAAGGGAGCGAGAGGACGGAGGGGGATTGGTGCTGGGGAAGTTTAGTTAAATGATGGTTTTCCTTGGACTTTGGACTGAATGCCGATTTCCCATTCCATTTTATGCCTGAACTGGCGTATTTTATGTCAAGTAATGTGATGTTGATGCGTTTTCTTCTCGATTCAGATTCTGTTCGCAGGACATTACATTTCCATACGGGAGAAAACAACCCTCCTTCTTTCACTTTGGGGAAAAAAGGGTGCGGATAATCGTGTTCGTTTTATAGAAAGTATGGCAGAGCTTTTTTATGGGGTTCGGTTTTGAGAAAAAAAAATCGGTATATCGATTTAAATAAGTAGAAAATTTTAAAATTCCTAAACTGAGTTTGATGTAAGCATCTAGATTTTAAGGTTTGCCTTGTATTGTTATCAAATAAAATTACATTCGGTGGTAAATTATAACAACTAAAATTACTTTAAAATCCATCAAATTTGAAATAAATTCTCATTCTATTGTTGCAAAAATATTGTATTAATCTATGTTAAAATGTTTAATTTTAACTCCGTTTGCATAAACAAGATATCGTTTTACTTAAGGTGACACTGAAAAAAGATTCTTCTTCGTACACATTTTGGTTACAAAGTTTCAAATAAATTTCTTAATTTTGTCACATTATTTCCCAAAAAAAATTTCTGCCCTGTCCTGCCCCGAGCTATAAAGAGTAACAAAATGAGTACATACACCACACCCGACCCCACTCACCCAAGAAGAATAGAGAAAGATGAAATTCTGTCGGTTTACCTTTCCAATTTCTTTCACAAACTTTCTCACCACAGCGAAAACCACCCCACGCACCGCGGTAGCTTTCTCTCCCACCAAAACCCCCACCACCACCACGACCAGGCAGCAGTATCAACTACCAACCATTCTAATAAAAAACATCACCATCAAGCAAAAACCTGCTTCTTTTCCCTGTTTATTTATTGCGTTTATTTCATGCGTGCGTATATAAAGAAAGCCAGCCAGCAACGTGTGAGTGGGTGCAAGCTGCAACTGACTTGATAGATTTCTCTCCCCTTTTGCCGAGGAGTAAATAAATAGAAAAATCCAGATAATCCACCTTCCCACCCGGTAGTAAGCTAAGCTACACACATACATATTTAGCCGCCTTACTGCTACCTTCAACCCCAACCAATTCCTGTCTCTTCATCTCCCAAGAAAGAAGTAAAATGAACAGGATGAAAGTGCCGGGAGCGAAATACATACATATAAAACGGGAAGAGAAGGTGAGCGAGCTGGGTGAAAGTACACACTTTTTTGTTACTTTCTTCTTCCCCTACATACACCTCGTTTTTGTTGTCGGATAATATTTTATACTTTGGAATATAAACCGAGAAGAAAATCTGAAATAAAAATCTGAGGGATCATGATGATCACACCCACGACGATTTTTCATATTTCAATAAACCAGTTTCATGGCTCGAGGTGTGGATGGATGGAATCCACTTACTTTTTGTTTTACATGAGAAACGTCTTACGTCAAGGAGTGACAACGGTGCAGTCTCAGATTTCCCTTAAATCTTGGTGAAAGTTGGGCCCACGTGCGTGGATGCCTATTTTTGTATCTACCTACATTAATAAATTATTAGGAATGATTTATATTCATTTATTTCCAGGAAATTGTAACGTGATTGATCAATTAAGGAACTTTCACTCTGGGGCATTATGATGAATTCCGTGTTGCATGGAATGGTCAATATTGTACTTGTGCATGATGACCTTCTGTATACCACGGACGATTCATTTCCTCCTCTCGCGTGAGAACTGCATCACACGGAGGCCAACAACAGGCTCACTTTATGTATGTACAACTGACCACGGCATCATCAATCCCCCACCTCATCACGTCACGTCATGGTCAAACATTATTTTATCAATATTACCAGACACTGCAGGGGCAGGGGTGCGTTCTGGCAGTGGTTATGTACATAACTACATAACTGCAATCAGGTAGGGCACGAACAGTTGTTGTGTTTTGCTTTTCCGTGCAGTTTTTCCGTGATACAAAAGAATCCAGAGAACAATGGGGTCTCTCTTTCTTCTTTTTTACAAGTATTTCTCTCCCCCAATAACAACTTGCAGCACTCTTCTTAAGTTTGTTAATAAGTGGTCTGCTGTCTTCGTCGGTACGATATCTGGCTGCGAGGATGGAGACGATGATGTATAGCTCAATCATCTTGAAGCAAATACGTATCAGTTCGATCCTGGAGAGGATTATTATCTTTATTTTTGGGGGGTTAAAAAGAAGTTATGAAATTCTGCAGTTTATGGTATTACATAAATAGCTGTTTGTGCAGTTTTCACCTTGTTGCTAACTTCTTTTTCTTCTTCTTCTCTGATGAACAATGATGTTAATAATCTCATTAATTATACTTTCATCTTAGAACTGGCTTTCACCAACATGTCAAATTTTTTTCCATCCCACTTTTCCCATTGTGTTGTTATTATCTATTGTATTAAAGCAACTTATTTTCCCCTTCCCACGCACCCAGCAAACATCACAAGAGGATGAGAGAGAGAGAATAATGAATTGCATCGATAAAACATTACGCGTTTCTCAAAATGAGGGGAAAGTGAGTGAGTGAAAGAACAAAGAAACGCCTTCAATCAAACGATTCAGTCAGATTCGGGGAATCATAACGTCCCGTATTAAAAGAATGAACAATACAAAATCGTTTGACCGTGAAATATGGAAGAACGGTGATGAATTGTGCATGATATGCCTGCCTGCCTGCCTTATTATTTGTCCGTATACAAGGCAGAGCCCGTGCCAAACTGGGCGATGCCAATCCATTCATCTGAACTCAGTGCTGGACGGGGGAGTGAAATGAGAATGAAATTAAGTGAAAGTGGACGGAGTGAAAGAGGAAATCAAGAACAGAACAGGAGAGAGAGGAAATCCAGATATGGTAATGAATAGGGGCGTTGGTCAAGCAAATCTGTCATCTCATCGGGCATACAGGAATTAATTTAAATTGTGGTTTTAATATGAAAAATTTTTAGTTGCAATAAAAACTAAAATGGAAACGTAAATAGTTAATCGTATCAATTTAGCTGTCAAGTAGTTCGTAGGGCAAGGAGTAGTGGATAAACAAAACAGGGCACGAGGTACAATGTAAATGTCAAACTTTGTGGAAAGCCAATTCTGCTCACTGTAACCAACAAACTACTAACTTTCTCCATTATTTAGGAGTACATAGTAGTTTGAAAACATGGTTTAGGATTATGCGTCGCGTGAACTATTATGCAAACATGGGCGGAATTAGGGGACTGTGTGGTTGCTATTTCTGATGGGGAATATTGCTTATTTAGTTTGAAAGGATTTTGAGAATTGTGCAATCCAATGTCAAATCGGAGGCGAATATGATTTTGTAAGTGTGACATCTTGTCGTATTTAGAACTTGGCATGTATGTAGTTATGTATGCCTTATTATTAAACATGAATATGGTCCAAAAATATGAATGAATACTGTTTGCTCAAATTTTCAGCACCTTAGTGTCTAAATATCTTAATATTTAGATATTTCCGAGCTTGATACATTTAATCTTCTAATTTGGTTAATTCCTTTGTACTGCAAAAATTGACACTGGCGTTTTTGTAATGCATTTTTTTGTATAATTCTACTTTTATGAAATTTTACGTTACAACACAAATAATTTGTATTAACGCTATTTATTAATTTACTATTCGCTAATTTACTATTACACTTCCATTTAAAATTATGAGCTTAATCATACTTTCATGTCTCTCTCCTAAAATAATTGAATGCATTCGTTACAACCGATTTTAACAACATTTCAATAGTATATTTTCTCATCAAACTTATCGACAGGCTAAAATTGGAATTTACAATTGAGGATAAATAAATGCTATATTTTTATACCGATCAAGAAGTTGATAGCGGTGTAGTTTTCAACACACTTAATTTTTTTTGCAAAAAAATAATTCAGTCAAACATACACGTAGGTGAAAGACTCTAACTTAGGATTAGGTAAAATCTTTAAAAAAAATTATTTCAATGCCTCATGAAATATAATTGTAACATGTAAAATCCAAAATATGTCATACTTCAACGTCCTACAAATAATTTTGGATTTGTTAAAATCTCTATAATAATGGATACTAGATTGATGTATTTCGTTTTGGGTATTTCACATTTACTGCTGATCACAACTAAACTATTTAACTTCATCTCCACCAAAAACCGTATACAATTTATTTCTCACCACCACTTTCCATTTCCTTCCCTTCCTCCTCACTCTCCATACAAATGCACAAACCGATTCTCACACTGGTCTCCCTTTTCCCTTCAAATACCCAACTTCCTCGCTCACCCGAACCAGTAGTGTTCCAGACTTTGTGAAGGAAGGAACGAGCCCATCAGCAGCCACATCGTGTCATCGTCTCAATTCTCGCGTTTATTTTCCACTCGGAAAAGTGAGACCATTCATTCATTCATTTTTTGCATTTCAACTTCCTCCTCCTCCAAGCTACCAACTTTTTAGATAAAGGTTTTCAAATAAAGTGCCCGACTTATTCGCCACGTAGCAGTTTACATCCGGGCAGTAAAAACAGTTTTGCGGTGTTTTATTTCCTTCTTCATTTCACTTTATGTGAATTGAATTGGACTGGATTTCTCAATAGTGGAAAAAAGAAACTTTGTTGGAGAGAAAACTCTTTAAAATTCTAGCTTCGCCCTCCTAACTCAGTTTGACTTTCTCTCCTCTGTAAGAAAGCACTTTTTCCTGCTTAAACTTTAATTCTTAACTTTGCCCAGGATAAGTATTGTGTGTGTTTGTATGTGTGGAAGTAAGTGATATTTCACTCTCTGGACGAAAACCTCTGGAAAAATAAGTAAGAAGCGTGCTGGGTATCGTTGCCACATTTAATGTTGGTTTAGCCCCACCGTGGACGTGGACACTGGATGCGGACAATCTTTCACTTTCGTTTCGTCCAAGAAAAAAAGAACTTATTTAGTTAACTTGTGACTCAAAAAGTGACAAATGCCCACTTAGCCTAGTTCTCTCTCTCTCTGGCAATCACTCACTCAATCAGGAGACCGTTTCGAGAAAAAGTGTAAAAAAACTAGATACACCGTGCTTTTATTTCCCCTTCGAAGTAAAGTAATCCTACCGACAGGACGGAAGAAATTGGGATCATGGACTTGGATGGATAGCTCCATTCTTCTTAAGGAGAAAGTTGCCCAGGACAGGATTTCGGTGAGGTGGTCGTGATCTTCGCAGGAACGAATTATTTTATTATCAAAGGTAACCGCAACATGTAAAACTTTTTAAACCTTTTTAATAAGTGTTGCTTACTTATTAAACGAGGGTCTCGAAATCATAATTAATTACTGTTTGAACGAGCTAATTGGATTATGCAAATGTTCCTAGATTAAATTACATGTCCTGTTGAGTAAAAACAACAAAAATTTCTATGCTCGGTCGTCGCGTGATGTTCGAAAACAATGAGCGTTTTCGTTTGTTCACGAGGAATAATAATATTGTAGAATTGTCTACTTTGCAAATCCTACTAGTTCTCCAGGCTAAAGTCCGGGCTAGAGTTACATGCCTACCTTTTTCCCGTAATGGGAAAGTGACACGTAATGTTATCCTTTCTCTACTACTGAAATCGTGGCAATAATGAGAACGTCGAGGACAAAGTAGACGGCCGGCAGTTCGTCAATATGGCACGTTTTATGCGTAATTCATCTCAAGTAATGAGCTGTCAAACCTGTGCCAAAATGTAACAAAGGGAAGAATGGAATGAAATGAATTCAATTTTTTCCTTGTATTACTTCCGGTTGGCAAATTGGCAACGTACGTATCCTAGCTCACTCATTTTTGACAACCTTGATTGAAATTAAGAATTTATTTACTTTTTGGTAAAACAGAAGGTCTTAAGTTTTGAACTGGAAATGTCAAAGGTGACCAGTAAAAGTTGTGAAATAATTTAAAAACCCATTTTCATCGGGACGATGAATTGTCAATAATATAATAATCAGAGGTGAATTTACATTGATTTATGACAAAAGCGAAGGTGATTAAGTTTAATATTCAGGTCAGGAGGGGAAGCCCCACGGTTCGATTTCCGCCGTCGAGGAGCTAGACTGGAATTTCTTGAGGAGAAAGTGACTGACTTTTACTACGTATACAGAGTTTGTATGTACGTATAAGTGGCTGGTTAAAGTAAGCAATAGATGACTTGACTGCTCCAACGACGACGATTTATGACATGTCCTCTATAAATCCACTACACTAGTCTTTTATGACGGGCACCTCAAACACTGTCATTATCATATTATCATCACTTTTCATACTTTGTTCGCACCCACTATTTATTACCGCATTGGTGAATTGGTAACCAGTTATTATTACTATCGACACAGGTAAATACGTATTCAGGTCTAGTTTTTTTACTGGATTGGACATAAATATGGGAGCAAATTGCCAATATATTTTGCAGGTTTAAATTATTTTTAGTTTGCTTTTTGCGTTAAAAATCTTTCACCATTCGGCTACGTGCAACTTTCCGTGGGCAATCTCAATCTCAACTAAAATCTATCTCATTCTCGTTTGCAACATTCCGAAAATAAAAATAATACAGATTTATTACCCTGTGTAAATTCAACCATAAAATTTCGTGTGACATTTTTCTCCATATCAGTATTAGATTTTTATTACTGGGAGATTTCACCAGGTGAAATGAACGGCTTGGTTAAAATGGTCCTTATACATACGATGGTATCATAATGGAATGGTTGTTGGTGCAGTGCAGTATTTATTAGCGTTAGGTAACCCTTTCCCCACCTGGATTTGTAATGCCTGTGCTAAATGTGGTGTGATCCAGCCCAACTGTATGAAACACATCCGATTCTGCCAACCTATTTCTTATCAATCAAGGAATCTTCTTGAATTGCTTTCGACACGAAATCCTCCACACACACACACTTCATCAGAATAAGCAACCATTTATTCATTTCATTTCGCGTTCTTCACTTATTCATTTTAATATGGAAAACGGGTATATATGGGACTGGAGGATAAAGTATGAAATATGATTAATCGTGAGAGAGAAGAGAGCTGCTGGTTTCCGAAATGAATAAAATGAATCAATGTGCATGGATTTGGGTCATCTCCACCCAACTTACGGTGAAAAAAATGAATTCTCATGCTGAATAGAAATGTGAAGAAAGTGATGACTTTGGGATTTTTTAGTCAATAGGATTTAGTGAATTTGTTGTTATTATCAATTTGGGAAAACAGAGTAGGTAACATAACAATGGAGAATAGTAGCTTATCCAATTATTACTGCTTATCACACATTCATGAAGGATCTTTGCCCCCATAATTAAAAGTTAAGGTTAACTTGCAAAGCAGTTTCTAATGCTTGTTCATCATCATGATTTTTAGAGACGTCATAAATCAACACATTGCAGTAGCTATTTATTTAAATAATAATTTGATCGCTTTTTAAATATTTTGTAATTTTAAAAATTCATACAAATGAGAGAACGACGCTCTTCTAAAGGGGTCTTCTTCCTGCCCTAATTTATGGTCCCTACATACAGGAAGCATCGTTAGTATTTTCAATTCATTACGTTTGACAATATGATAATGCATTTTATTTCCCACATGAAGCAATGTGTATAATCATCTCCTCCGATAACCCCACCCTGTAAAAACTTCTCATTCAGAATAACGCTGCTAAAAAACTTTTCTCTTTTATTAATGATGTATGTACGTAAATACATAAATATACAAATGCACATATAAATTCCTAATTGTTATTTAGTTTTGGTTCTTCTCCTTTCCTTTAATACGATCCCTCTTTGTCTGAAATCCGTTCCCATGTCCATCAATACTACGCACACAATGTGACCAAATCAAAAAAGAAGCCCACGTGTCCCTTTTGGTAAAAAGAGAAGGGAGTCCTATTTCTAAGGGGTCCCTTGTGTATTCTGCACGTATTCCAGTGGGAAATGAACTTTCATTGCATTTCATGTCCCCTTAAAAGGACACCCGCGATCCAGGCTGGTTGTTGACTGCGTACCCGTGGCAAGGGTGGACTGGACCCTCGGCCGTAATAAATTAGCAGATAACAAAAGTGCTGATAGAAACGAAAGGGGTTCAAGGGTGGTCCCATCGGGTCATTAAATTCTGGAGCATACGTTACGTTACGCATTAACGAGACAAGACACACTTGCCTTTTATCAAGGACTGATGTAGGGCCGACCATGTCCCTTAAAACTATTAAACAGATAGATTTGTTTGTTTGTGGGAACGAGTCGTTATGATTGTGAATAAGAGAAAATATAAGATCGTCTGCCGGACCGTGGTTTCTAAAGAGAGAAAAATTTAAGAGTCAAATTACGTGGCGGACTCGAATTTCCTAAATGTGAATTTGGGTTAAAAGGCATCTATGTAAATTGATTTCATTTCATATAATTTCATATTTTTCCTTAACTTGCAAAAGAGGACCGTATATATCTTTGCACTTCTGTAATATTCTAAAATATCATTATTTTCATCTTTGTCGTCTTCCTCTCTCAATAATAACAAAATTACCCAGCGAAATTGACATTTTCCTCCTCGTAATATTTCATCCCAACAAAAAACTGACATTTACTTCTGACAAATCAGACATTTCCCTCGAGAGTGACAAGTTCTAATAATTTTCGAGAGATCATTATAATTAACAAGTCTCTCAAATATCTCTGCAAAATGCAACCTGAATCTAACATAATTTCAAAATTAAATTGAAAAAAGTGATTTTCCCATCCAGACTAAATATTTACTTTATAAGTAATACTTCCCATTCAAAAGGAATAAATAATTTAATATTCTCCCATTAATTCGAACACATTTGACATTTGAGAAAAGTCATGTGTGGTGGGTCCCAATCCCGAAAGACCCATTAGCCACCATGGGCTTAAACCGTGTCCATACATCTCTCAGGGTAAAAAAGAGTCAAATGTCATCTCACTCAATCTCCTCTAGACACGGGCAAAAACGTGTGTAAGCCTTTGAAAAACAAAGGCTCCCTTCGCTCCAGGTCTGGTCTTTTGGTTCCATTATCTCCTGATTGCATTGCACTACTTTCTTTATTGCGAACTTATCTCAGTCTGGAATTTAATGGATGTTACGTACATAGTTAGATTATAGCGAGTAAGGGAAAAAAGCAAGCAGAGTAAAGTAAGCAAACCGTAAGAATTAAGATAAGCTGTTATCTCTCCTTCATTTTATTTCTTCTTCTTTCTGTTTTTCTTCGTGTCGGGCTGGTCGATCTGCCACAAAGAAAATGAAGAAGAAAGAGGTTTTAAAGTTGGAGTTATTGTCTCCCACTTTATTTTACTGCTTGTTGCCTTTAATCCTATTTTTATCTCGTTATTTACACCAACCAACCAGCCAACGAGGCATTACGAGAGGGTAAAAAGATGATCCCGTTTCACAGTTATACGGCCGCCATAAAGTTGGCACATGCACTACTCGATATTACAAAAGTCGGAAAATTTATGATAAACACAAAGAGGAAATTAAAATTAAAACGACATTTTAGTTTAATGATGTTCCATAAAAAAGAAGCCTTTTTGTTCAAACACAAACAAATGAATGGTTCACTTATCTTTCATCCAAGAGGTTTATACATGCCAGGAATTGGCAGAGATTCGCAATTTCTTTTGGCCATACATACTAAATTTTGCAATCTGAGCAGTACTAGCCTCGTTATTTATTTACACACTAGTGGATTACATCATCATCATCATACAATTCTCTTTGAAGAATGTAAAGTACGGAGAAAAAAAAGCGAGACAAAGAGATGTGATGAGGAGCGAGTCTCGGTTCGGAAGTCGGATCACATCACATCACGCCAGCCCAATACGCAATAAGACCACGGAAGAGAAGAATTGGTATAGAATGGAGATGGCTTGGGGAGATTTATTTATTGTGGCAAATTGATGGTTTTCCTTCCCTCGGGCTAGAAACACTTCAAAGAATACGAAAACAGTGGCGAAAAGAAGTCGAGTATATAATTTTGGAGGAAGTAGGAAGAAAGTGAATAGAGTCGAATTTTTGGGAAAAAATTGGAAACTTATAAGATTAACTATTTAGTTTTCTGTAGTGTTAAATATATTCGTGCAAATTTTAAAAAATATATAGGTCCAACCAAAAACACGCAAAAAATAAGGAAGTATTTTCCCTTGTTTTTACCACAACGGTTATAGAATTTCATTCATACCACGTCAAACACGCGATTCAGAAAGTGA